CCTTAGTCATGATGGATTTTTGTAAGTGACCTGTCATCAGGGTTAATCCAAACATTCCAACTATAAAGTAATTCGCTAGACAATAAGTTGTAGGAGTTTCAACGTGACATTTCATTAAATATCCAATAAAGGGATTGATTACATTGATTCCAGCAAATTTCTTCATAAATAAAAGGAAAAATTTAGGCATAATATTTCTTCAAGTTAGCCCAGTTCCATGACCTGGCTAGAGATCTTCTCTCAGCATCCTTTAAAGAATATGCCCATCCAGAATGGACCCTTTTGATGAGGTATGGTCCCTCCCTGTTCGGCTCTAGTTTTTCGACGTGCTTCAGTACATCGATTCTTTTCCAGACCAGGTCGCCCACCTGGAACCTCCGCACTTTCACCTTTCTGACATGCGTTGCTCGCATTCTTTGCCTTACACCTCGACCCTAATTGAGGCCTTTTCCCGAAGTTCGTCAATTGTATCGAGAGTTGTCATCATCAGGTGTTCATTTTGTTCTCGATCATATGTGCTCGATCTCTGGGATTGGACTTCGACCGGCAGCAAAGCTTCCATTCCATAAACCAGACTAAACGGTGTTTCCCCAGTGGTCGATCGGGGCATTGTTCTGTATGCCCATAACACCGAAGTGAGTTCATCCACCCACGCTCCCGATGCCTTTTCCAACCTTGTTTTGAGACCGTTTAGTATGATCCTGTTGGTCACCTCGACCTGCCCGTTAGCTTGCGGATGAGCGACTGAAGCGAAGTGTTGCTCGATTTTCATGTCCTCGCACCATGCTCGAATCTGCTTGCCATTGAATTGGGTCCAGTTATCCGACACCAAAACCTTGGGGACTCCGAACCTGCAGCAGATGTTATTATATAAAAAAATGTATCACTTTCTCCTCTGTGATTTTGGCCAAAGGTTCGGCCTCCACCCACTTTGTGAAGTAATCGATCGCAACAATCATAAATTTCCTTTGTCCGGTTCCCTGGGCATGGGTCCCACCAGGTCGATACCCCATTGGGCGAATGGGATGGGAGCGCTCATCGTCGTCATTGCCTCGGCTGGTTGATGAATGAGCGGGCCATACTTCTAGCACTGCAAACACCTTCTTACCATTGTTTTCGCATCCTCCCTCATCGTCGGCCAGAAATATCCTGCCCTTAGAATTTTCGCCACCACGGAGTCTGCTTTGCTGTGATCACTACATCACCCCTCATGGATTTCCCTCAGCACATATCGCCCTTCCTCTCTGGTCACACATCACAAGTGTGGCCCAGCATGTGATCTTTTGTACAAGATCTCTCCGTGTTCAAAGAACCTCCTTATTACTTTAACCGCTCCCTCCTTCAAATCTTTAATTATCGGGGCCCTCCAATCCTCGACCTCTTCTATCTCGACCACCTCATTCCCGAACTAGGCCACGTCACAACTTTCCCATCGATCCCCTTCTCCATAGCCACCAAAACTTCAGCCACCTTTGCATTCAACGGGGTATAATAATGGAACCTCTTCCCTCCAGAGATAGGCCGATCCTTCCACCTGTCCTCTCGCCCTCGATCCTTCTTAGCTCGCCCTTCCCTCCTGGGCTAACCTCTCCTTTTAGGCAAAACTGCCTTCTCCTTCTTTGGCTCCGCACGACCCAATTCCTCCAGCTTGGCAAACTCCGCCTCAGTCTCCTCGAGGTTAATATATTTTCTGCACCTTTTCAACACCCCATCATAAGTACGAGCCGAGGTCTTGGCCAAAGAAGTCCGACATGGGCTCACTCGTAAACTTCTAATCAGTCCTCCCGCCTTAACCTCATCAACTGCCGACGGGATCTCTAGGCAAGCCTTATTGTATCGGGCTACATATTTGCGCAGTTACTCCTTCTCGCCCTGCCTCATCGCCATAAAGGTTAAGTACGTCTTCTCCTGGGCCACCGCGCTCGAAATTGATTTATCAACTTCTCCACAAAATCCTCAAAATCTGCAATCGAGCCTGGGGGAAGGTGCTAGAACCAATCAAGGGCTCCTTCCCTCAAGGTCGATAAGAATGCTGCAACTAACGGGGTTAGTATATCCATGTAACACAGCCATATTCTCAAATGTCCTCACATGCCTCGACGGGTCAAAAGTCCCATCAAACACCAAGTTAGTATCCTTGAAACTAGCTGGCAAGGGTGCGACTAGTATATCCCTCGAGAACGGGTGTCCTCGAGCGCGTCTCTCCGTTCGACCATCCACCTTGGCCTGCAGTTGACGCAGCTGCTCAGCTATCCTCTCTATCTCTCGATCCTGCAGGGCTCCACCTCCCCTGTAACTGGATTCATCTTCCTCTGCATTCTGGTGTGTCCCTGCCACAATGGTTGGCGCTGTGGTGGCCCGAGAGAGGCTATTTGTGACCTGCTGCACCACCTGTGCAGCCGCATCTGCCACCATTTGCTGCATCTACTGTCTGGTCATCACCACCTTCTGACCAGGGCGTTGTTCTCCCACTTGCGGCGCGCTCTGCCCTGTACCACCGGTCCCGTGGGTTGTGCTTCCCTTGGATTCGGCAGCGGCGGCGAAGGCATCATCGCTGCGAGTGCCGTGCAAGCTTCCTGGGCGCGACTAGAGCCCGCGTATCCTTTGGGGATCGCCGATGACATAGCCACACCCTGTGGGACAGGAACGGGCGTGATCGACGTTTGGGAAGGGCCGGAGAAACCTGGAGGAGGGGCAAGACCCATCGGCCTCTATGTCGTCCACGTTTCGTCGAACGACTGCTACAAATTAACCTTGGGAATTTTGTCCGCCATAGCTACAGAGCTCAGTACCTCACAACACCGCTTTTTGAACGAAGTCCCACAGATGGCGCCAAATGGTAACACAAAACTTCCCGACCGGCTGGAATCCGAATAATCGCCTTCCTTCTCACCGGTTGAACGTCGTGCACCTACAAAGAACTCTCACACCAAAGGGTTTTTCGGTGAAGAGCCTCTGAAGCTTAAGTCAATGTGTATTCAATAAATTCTCAAGAATGAGTAATAGAATGATCGTATCAAGGAAGAAAGGCTTACCCCCTTTATATAGGGGTGAGATACCTGACCTAGGGCTGCCCGGATTTGGTGAGCTGGCTGCCCGAGTTGCTCGTCCGTACTCTGACACACCGCGCACATGTCAGAAGTGGCGCAGGACATTGGGAGTTGTCAGAGGTGGTTGTTGCTATCAACCAATGTGTTCTCGACACGTGTCCTTTTGCACATGGAGTGAGTATTCTTTTGAAATTCTATTAGAGGCTCTTACACGCGCCTGTGATTAGGCTGATCCATAAAGCGTTAAGTCCGCGAAGTGGTCGACCGATTGAGGTCGACTGAACTGTTCGACTGTTCACCTGGTCGAATGATAGATTGGTCAACTGCTTGTCGGGTCGATTGGCTGGCTGGTCGATTTTCCTGCCACTTGGCTCAGTTTCGTCACGGTATAGCCTCTTCGACCGGTTCAGTAGACCGGTTTAGCCTTGTGAATATAATATCCTATATCAGGAAGGATTTTTACCATGGCCTGAATTTTGGTATTATACAACGTACTATGCATCGACCAAATTCACTCCTTTCGAGTTGGTTTATGGACGGAAGGCACCCCCACTGGTGAGTTATCCGATGGGAAAATTACCGAATGATGAGGTGGATCGTGAGCTCATGGAAAGAGATCTTATTATTCGGGAGCTCAAAGGAAACTTGTACGGGTCGATCAATCGAATGAAGGAGTACTACGATAAGGGGAGAAGAGAGGGGCGATTCAAACCAGGAGATTGGGTTTACTTGAAGCTTAGACCTTGTCGCCAACATACAATCTCTCAAAAGGCTTTATTCAAGTTGGTAACGAGTTTCCTATCGACTTGATCTACCGGCCGAAGCTCAAATTCATTCGGTGCTTCATGTGTCTCAACTAAAGAGAAGCTTGGGGGAAAATCAAGGAGCTCAACCGAGGTTGCCGGCAGTGAATTCTCAAGGCACTATGATCACACGTCCAATACGAGCATTGGATTATCGAAGGGTAAAAAGGGCTGGCCGTTTTCGTTGGGAAGTCTTAATCGAATGGGACCAACTTCCGGAAGAAAAATCAACTTGGGAAAATTTACAAGATATGCAGATTCAATTTTCGGATTTTGTCCTTGAGGACAAGGACTCTCTTGAAAGGGACGGGAATGATGCGGATGATGGTCGTCAGCTGAAGAACGCGTACAACCGAGCTCGTCGAGCAAGAATGAAGCTGCAGAAAAATCGCAGCTTTTCAGGGGTTAGCGCCGCTAAGGACCCTTAGCGCCGCTAAAGTTGGGATAACGGCATCTAGCGAGGACAGAGGCTTTATGTTATATTGATTAGCGGCCACTAATGACCTTTAGCGGCGCTAAGATCCCGACGGGAGCAGTTTTTTATTTTAGTTTTCTTTTTGTTTCAGGTGTGTTTTGGGTAATTAGTAGGATTATTTTATGTTGTTGTTGTTCATTTTGGAGACTATCTTTTATCATTTATCGAAGAACTCAGAAAAAAGCTCATTTTCGAGTATAAATCCGTGTCAAAATCAAAGCTTTAGTGCGTGTTTTGATACAAAATTGGATATTCGATAGGACACGCAAACTCTAAAACCAAAACATATCCTAGGCAACAAAGATATTTTCACTTAGATATTATTATCTTGCGCTCAAAAGGCTTCCACTAGAATTTTCCAGATACCCAATCTCTTCTTCCCCAGAGGCCCATCGAAATTATTTTCCTACAGATATTTTCCCGCTTGTGAATATCTTCTTCCCCTTTTATAAATATCAATGGACCCACTCGTCAAACCGCCTTTCACTTCTCATCATCGTCGCGCACACTATAAATAATAAGGCTTTTATGCTTTTAGAGGGCTTCGCCGCCACATTCGATGCGAGTCCTTCTGGAAAAAAACAAGAGAACCCAATTAGAGAGTGAAAATTTTTGTGGGGTTTTTGCGTTGTAAATCAGTTGTTTCTTCGGGGATTTTGAGGATATCTGAAAATGGAGTTCGTGGGAGGTTTACCTTCGTACTATAGCGTTCTGGGCGTTGATAGAAACGCTTCAGATGAAGAAATTAAACGTGCTTATCGGAAGCTGGCCATGGTATGTTTTGCCTATAAAAAATTGAATTTTTTTGGGGTTTTATAGAAATTAGTTCTTTAAGGATTCTTGATTTTTTTTTTTTTTTTTNNNTTTTTTTTTTTTTTTTTTTTTTTTTCATTTTGTCCAAAGCTGAGATTTTTTTGCAATTGGGTTGTCTATATTTGATAGTATTGAGGATGATGTTAAGTTATTACAGAAATAATTGTGTGATTTTGATCCAGCAATGGCATCCGGACAAATGGGCAAGTAGAAACCCCTCTGTTCTTGGAGAGGCCAAGCAGAAATTCCAGCAAATTCAAGAAGCTTATTCAGGTAAAGGGCTTAATAAAAATCAATGGGGTCTTCTTGTATAGATTGAGATGATATTGGTATTAACATGAGGTTGATAATTGTATGAATGAAACAGTTTTATCAGATAGGAGAAAGAGAGTGATGTATGATGCAGGGATATATGATCCTGAAGATGAGGATGAAGAAGTTGAGGTATGTGTATTAGCATTAATGTTTTTGGGAATGCTACGGTCCCGTTACGAACGATTCCGTCGGGGTTTGTAACCGTTATATCAACTATCCCGACCGTTACATGATGATCTAACGGTTACAAACCCCGAAGGAACGGTTCCGTAACGGGACCGTAGCGTTTCCCATTGAAATGTTTGTTATGATGTGTTGTAATTCCTTTCTTCATCTTTTAACTGTTGTATAACATTTTACAGGGATTGATGTGTTGTAATTCCTTTCTTCATCTTTTTAACTGTTGTGGAACATTTTACAGGGATTTGCAGATTTTCTTCAAGAAATGGTCTCTCTCATGAGTGATGCTAGGAAAGAGGTAAGTTTTAGGGCAAGGCTCATGTTTATAATTTATTTTGCTTTATGGGTTTTTAATTGTTTTTAATAATAAATTGTTTTTAACCTTCTTGATGGAGTCCTAATCACTAATTTCATTGATTAAAACAGGCAAAGAACTACAGCATGGAGGAACTTCAGAGCATGTTTTGCGAGATGGCGCGAGATTTCCAGACTCCTCAGTGGGGTTATGACCTGATGCAGCAACACACGTACGAGTCCTTGTGGTCTTGCGGCCCGTTTAGCTTGCACGAGCCCGAGATTCCCAGAACGAGCTCATGTGAAGCGAACCAACTTCATGGGAATCCTCACTTGGGCACATCGAGCTTTGAAACTTATGGTCAACATCATTTTTGCCGATAAGCAGCAAGTATAGCAAATACAACTTGTTTTTTTCTAACTTTCTTTGCAAAGAATGTATGAAGATGATTGCTAAGCACGAGTTTTCTGGTATGCTCGAGGTCTGCAAATTGGTAACAGCTAATGTGTACTTGTAAATAAGGGAATGTGAGAGTGGTTTGATTTTGAGGTTCTTTCACGCTTACAAGTGGGATTTTGTGAGTTGAATATCCAATGAAGTTTTGCAGTATACAGCGAATAGCAAAGATTAATCCTCAAGAAACGGCTTAATTTCCTCTAAGTCTTCATCATCAATGTCCTTCTCTCTATTGCTGCTATTGGGTTTTAATCTTGCAGCTTTCAGGTCCACCAAGCAAACAGCATCCTCCCAACGTTATTCTACACAAATTTTCAGCACCCATGTAGTTTTCCTCATGTCCATAATCTTCTCGTTCCTGTGATGCTCCACCGTCCCTGTTCAAGCCTTGATGATGTTGCCGCGTTTATCTGCCACTCGTTTAACACTAACTTGCTCATAAGTTGAGTTTCGAGCATTGACAGACATAAAGGTTTGCCCTACTCATGGAAAATTGCTCATCTATGAGATGGCCTGCAGCTCACAGTTTTTCCTGCTCCAAGAGGTTGTAGTTTCCTTAACTCAACCCAGTCATTCTTTGCCCTTCGTACCACTTCTTGTTTTGTGATCCACTTCTTCTAAAAAATCCAGCAGTTCCTAGTTTTTAGAACCAAAGTAGATAAGCAGAAAGACTTGCTCTATTTTTTATGGCTTTGGCTTCCCCAGAAACCATAACATCAGCCCACCAGTCTTTAAAGGAGCAAGTCCTGTCAACTACCATTGTACTCCCAGAAGTTTCCGGCAAGTCTTAGCTCTCCTGCAATAGAAGAACAAGTGCTTTAGGTCTTCTTCTGCATCCCGACAACCCTTAAAGATCTCATCAACCTTTACTCCTCTTTTCCTGAGTCGGGCATTTGTGTTGATAAAACCATGCCAGCTTCTCCACATGAAGTTCCTAATCTTGTTTTTATAGGCAACTTTTCAGATGTTCATCCACATTTTCCTCTAAAGCCTAGCCTGATCACTAGACTCGGATTTTCCTTTGATAAGATCTTGGTTAAGCAACAACAACTCATAGCTTGATTTTATGGTGAACAAGCCAGTCTAGTTCCCACATCCTCCTTCGTGCCCCACCAAAAGGATGTTTTATTATTCAAATCAGCCCACAAACAGGAAGGAATCCTAAAACATGAAATGACATATGTGTTTGTTATGTTTTTGTGGTATTTTCTTGTGGTTTATGTGCTTTAGTCGAGTCGTTTTTAGGTTCGTTTTAGTGTCAACCGATCCATTTTGTCGTATTTTATGTGTTCTTGTTCGTTATTTGTTTTGTATTTTGTCGTTTTTTTCTTGCGTATTTTGGTGTCGATTAGGTCCACATTGTTCGAGTCGAGATGACGAGCCATTTTCGAGACATTTTCGAGCCATGTTCGTACCCTATTCGAGCCATCCAGATCATTTCTGAACCAACCAGACCATTTGATCAAGCGTCCGAGTCAAAGGCAGCACAACCGCACTCGCCGCAAACATGATCTCACACCCCGCGGGATGGGGCACACACGCCCCAGTCTTGGCCTGGACTCGCTGCGAGAAGATTTTCGCGCCCCCCAAAACAATGCGCGATGCACTACCCACTGCCCCGGCACTCGCTGCGAGTTTGCACTCGCGACCGGCGAGCAAGCGCCCCGTCCACAAGCAGCGCACTCGCTGCGAGATCCTACTCGCGCCATGTGAGACGGCGTGGACAACCCAACACGCCAGAGCACTCGCTGCGGAGTCGAACCCGTGACCTGCGAGGCAGCGCGCGCGAGGCACCACGGCGCGGCACTCGATGCGAACAAGGATTCGCGCCGCGTCAAACGCCTCACCACAACTACCCAAGGCTCGAACTCGCTGCGAAACTACTTTGGCAACCCGCGACGCACCAAGATGCACTACTCCATGTCCACACTTTCTGCGAAACCAGTTTCGAGACCCGCGAACTGGAGAATTTTAGTAAATGTGCGTGTTTCTACTGTGTGTGGTTGTGGTGTAGCTATAAATAGATATTGTGTTCGTAAATTTGGGATATCCCACTCATTTCCCAACTTCTAAATTTTGTTCTTTGGTTTGGAGGTTCATAACTCATTTTTTCGGCGAAAGTCCGGTAAGCTTATTTTCAATCAAGTTACGAGTTTTAGCACTATTTTCGCTCGGACACGCGATAGGAGAGTAAGTACCTTGCTTAGGATTTAGTCCTTCGAGTTTGTTTTTCGAATTGTGTGTTGATGCTCATTTCTAGGGTTCTTGCTTTATTTTCATTGCTTGCTTCGTGTGTAAGGAATCAATACGTGCTTATCTAGTAAAAGTCTCGACTTTGTTCAAAGCGTGATGATTTAGTGTAGAAACCTCGTGTTCGGTTACCTAGAATCTCTATGCTCGCATGTTTTCTTTTGTTTATCGTTTTACTTGAGTTATGGATACTCCGTGCAACTAAAGTTTTGATCTTTCTTTCCCATCTTGCATTTTTCATCATTTGCTCTTAGATTCTTAGTTCAATTTCGTGCAATCAATCCCCATCAAGCGAGTAGAATGTGTAATACCTTGTTTTTTGTTATGTGACTTTGACGACTAGGTAATGAACGAAGCTCCGAACAGTCTTTCTTTGAGAACGACCTGGGTTGTGGCTCGGTTACCACATGCCCACAAAAACTACAAAGAAAATGTTGGGAGAGCTCCCAAAATAGTCTTAATTAAGACCTCTTTGCCAGTCTCGTTAAAAAAAATTATTTTTTCAAGCACACTTTTTCTTAACACTTGCAAGCACAAACTGAAAAGTCTCTCTTTTAGACCTTCTTATACCTAAAGACAAACCCAAGTATTTAAAGTACTTCACACAAGAGATATCATTCAAGATCAAACACATTTCAGCCTTACTTCCGGCTAGGGTGTTTTTGGAGAAAAAAAAAAAATACATGACTTACTCATATTAACCAGTTGCCCAGAAGAAGCTCCATATTTAGCAAGGATGTTTAAGATAAAAGAAGAGTGAGGTTGGAGATCGAGACGATTTCAACTTGTTGGTTGCATCGTAAAAGGACAGCATGGCGGAGGGGAGCTTTTCGTCGACGGAGATAGTAGCGGACTGGACGCTGGCTGGAGAATGACCCTTATCGGACTAGGAAACGATAAAGTTTGTGGATGGTCGATTTTGGTATTCTTAGTGCATGTATGTGTATATGAGAGAGAGAGAGAGAGAGAGAGAGAGAGAGAGAGAGAGAGAGAGAGAGAGAGAGGGGAGAGGAGGTAGATACGAGAGGTGTGTTGGGTGGGGCCCATACGTAGTGGTTGGGTCGGGAGGAGTAATGTCAAAAATACCTTTGATGGTATAATTTTTTGGCTTTTTTTTTTGGTCATTGCTGTTGTAAATTGGAACTCTTAATCTTCAACAAGCATCCATCAATCCAAGCATAAGA